TTCCCCCGCAGGGAGTAGGCAGTGCGGTACAGTATGTCAGTGTGTCAAGTGTGTTCGTCTCTCTCCTATCCTTGCGGCGCATGACCCTAGCCCTAACCCTAACCCTAATCCACTCTGTACATGTACGCGGCGGTCCCGCAGGCAATATTCATAAAGAGTTCATAATAGCGAATCATGGTGAACAAAATGGTACCTAGCGTGAACGGCAAGTCCCGTTGGCGCTGTTGCTCCCTTGTCTTGTTGTGGTACATGATTACTACCTCTGCCAGGTTGGGGACTACGTGAAGGTGGAGGCGGACCGCGGAGAGGACCTCGGAATGGTCGTGACGATCTTCCCAGTGCCCGAGGCCGGCAGGCCACTCCCTGCCACCGCCGGGCAAAAGCGCGGGTTCGGGCAGTTCGAGAAGGAGCACATCATTCGAGCGGCCACCGAGGACGAGGTGCGTGCGGCACTCTTGGTTTTGGTGGCCTATACTATCAGTGCAGGCTACAGGCCTGTGGCATACCAAGACGTTTTCTTTGTGCTGCCGTGTTCGCGTTTTTTTTTTGTAGCTGACAAGAGGTTCAAAACGCACCCCGCTTGCGCACGATTTCGTGTCGTTTTTTCGATGTAGGCTAGGCTAGGCTAGGCACGTGAAGGACCCGGGAGGTACTCAAGTAGAGGGCCCCGCCGTTTCCCATCGTAATCGATTTTTGGACCTTGGCTTAAGCTTTGAGAGTTTTTTCAACGGAGAGGGGGCTGATAGACCAACGCCTAGGCTATATCCATAGCATATCATACATACAACACACATGGTGTGATACGTGTTTATCCATCCACTTAGCTGTCGTTAGTTTGCCAAAACCCGAGCTCTCCCGCTGTGATATTGCACGCAGCCTTGAGAGACGGGGATTGTGAACTCGGCCACCGCGGGGGGGTGTGGTTCTGTATTTGTGTGCGAGGTCCGTGCACTCCACAGCAGCAGCAGCAGCAGCAGCAGCAGCAGTGTGCGGTGGTGGTCTTGAGAAGAGAAGAGAAGAGAAGAGGCCTTTCCCCCCTGGCCAACGAACAAGAACACTTGGTCTGCGACCTTCCCACGTATTGGAAGACATGTATCGTATCGTACACATGCTGTGTTCCTCCAGTACCTGGGTTCTGTTCTGGTGTGCGTTGGTTTCACAAGATTCACAAGAGGGTACGGAAGCGTCTCTCGCTGCTCGGAATAAATGGCTGGGAACATGGACGAATTATTTGCATGTCTTGTGTACGGAAAAATTCACAGCCTGCAATTGGCCGCGCCACTGTTGTTGTACTTGTGGCTTTGTCACGTTAGTGTTTTGAGTGTATTGGGAGGGCGTTCGTTTTTTCAACTGGCTATATCCCCTCGCATGACTTACGGTGGTATTAATAGTAATATCAATATTCCCCCCTCATGCCGACTTACAGTGGTGTAAATAGTCCCCCTTGATGGAATGCTGGTGATGGTGATGGAGGAATCGACACAGTAGATGCCGAAAGGCAGCGGACACACCACCCCTGGCTCGCTCCCTCTTCTTCTGCCGCCGAACAGGTACAAATGGTGAAGGACAAGCTGAGGGACGAGGAACGAGTGCTAGAGGTCTGCCGCACCAAGGTGCTGCAGCGCTCGCTGCCGATGCGTGTCATGGACGCCGAGTTCCAGTACGACCGACACAAGTTGACTTTCTTCTTCGAAGCCGAGGGGTGAGGGCACGGGGTAGTCGACTCGAAAGACAAAAAATATATATCTTTGATCGGCACTGCTGAACCCGACTTCCTGCGCCTTCATTCTTTTCCTGTCACGTTTACCTCGCCTCGGTTGGGTTCAGTCCAGCCCCTGGATACGAGAGGCATTCGTCCCCTGTGCACTGCTGTCGTAAGACTGTCGTGACACTGCCGCAACCGTAACCGTAACCTTCGTGTACGATGGAACTACTATTGTTGATTTGACCGGCGTAGAGTGGCGTAGAGTCGGGCTGCATCATGTTGAAGACCCGAACTCGTTGATTCCAACATGGTATGGTATCAGCTAGAAGGAGCACGAAGATCCGGCCCGCAAACCGTGACTCGTAACCCGTAACCCGTATACCGCCTACAATACGGTTTATTACTGTACCCACCGCACTCAACGGGTATGGCCCAAGAAGGTTTTAAGTTCGATAGTTCGATAGTTCGCTAGTTGGCCCAGATTGTTCACTGCGACGCAAGGGCTGGGTGGACCTGAACATGTATCGACTACTGTATCGACCACAAGCGAGAAATCTGAGCATCGGCGGCCACCGGTCCACTGTCCCTCTTGCGGCCGCGACAGGCGCATCGACTTTCGCGAGCTTGTCCGTGACTTGTTCAGTCTCTACAAGACTCGCATCTGGATGCAGCAGCTCGAGCCTGAGACCACTCCATCTGGCGGCCCGATGCAGCCCCCGTACTCCCCCCAGCAGCAACAGATGCATGGCATGCCCGACGTGAAGGACGGGTCGATGGACATGGGGATGAACATGGGCGGGCCAATGGGGGGACGCATGCTGTGACCGACTTGTGTGTCCAAGCTCGCCTTTGTCTCGTGGTACTGGCCTTGGTTGTGGTCCTGGCGTGCAGAAGCTGTACGGCGGTAACATGAGCTCGTGTGAGGAGTACGCTGTTGATTGAGTTTTGGCTGTGGATATGGTTCCGTTTGGATGGTGATGAGATGTAGAGGTGTCTGTAGCTGCTCTATTAATTGACGCTTCTGTGCCCGCTATCGCAATATCCAGCAAGTGGAATATGGGGTTGGCTGTGGGGTAAATGGCCTACGCTACACGTTACGACGGACACAGGTTGCTCATGGAGGAACCAAGGAACAAGATTGTGATTTGTCATTTTGCGTTCGGTGCCTATCCTCGGAAACGAAGCTAAGGACCGAGCCGCGCCAATAATGTTTTGACAAAACGTTCTCCAAGCGCTACTGGCTTGCTAGGTCGTAGATGATGTTAATATGCCTCCTTGTTTCCTTGCCGAGCCAGTCAAGGGTCTGGGATGCGCCTCGGTCCTTCTGCTACAATACAGCAGGTGAAAAGGGAGGAGGAGCGACTCATGCATGAAAATACCTTGGTTTGTAGAGACGAAAAAGTGCGTCACTATTGATAAGACAGTCGTTCGTTTGGAACAGGAATTCATGACGTCATCCTTCCCCTTGATGTTGGTTGGCGAGGATGGACAGAACATTCTCCCTTGCTCTCCTCGGGGGTAGTGAAAGAGTTTGAGTTTGACTATAATAGCCATGACTGGACTGGACTGGACTAGACTTTCATCCTCACATGATAGACCTTGCGACGAACACGTGCACGCTTCATATGAGGGCAGACAAGAGTGTTTGAGGGTTGGGAAGGCCTGCGACGGCGTTCTGGTTCTCCCCCGTTCATGGGGGAGGTGGTTCGTTTTCATGTACAAACGGGGGGCTGGGTCGGGAATGGACTTGGGTATCTGGGTCGGGTTCGGTTAAGGGTTCCTGTTTAGAAGCCTGGGTAGAACGGGGCCCTAATGAAACTTACCAAACGGTTGGGACGGGAATGGGGATGGGATGGGATCGGGACGAGATAGGATGGGATGGGATTATTTGGAACCGGACCGAGTGAGATATGCGGCGCTGTCTCCATCTACACTACATCCTTACGTAGACACCACGGTGCCACACACGTTTTCGGCCCGGCGTCGTCATACGAACGAAGTATTTTCGGGTTGCATGTTTTTTGTGTTCAGTTTTTTGCGTTTTCGAATGGGTCCGTTTGTGCGACAGTAGATAGTAGTGCGCATGCATGTGTTGCCGAGCAAGCCTGGGGGCTTGACGGGCATATCTTCTGGGGCAGGTAGACTAAAGGTAGGTGTGCGAGAGTGCTGCCCTGTGTCGGTATGGATCGTGTCGCAGGTTCTAAATTACGGTAGAGTAGTGATATAAAGTCGGACGATAAAAGAACAGGTGACTGAGGGATGGAGTAAGGGCGGGTTGGATGGGCGGGGGAAGCTTCAGGGATTGGTTCCCGGCTGGAGTCCATCGTTTTCCCGCGGGGTGTATGTCTTAGAGCGCGCTGCGAATCGATGGGATGTTGTTTTGTGCCGACCCTCCGCTACTATCGCTACTATCGCTACTATTAGCCCCCGCCGGAGACGAGGAACACTCGGGACGTGGACCACTCCGTCTCGACGAAGTCAAGGGAAAATTGTCGCGTATCGTAGAGTGTTGCGGTCGGCCGACTGAGGCAGGTCGCGAGACTGGAGGGAACGAAAAGAGGGGAGGGGAGGGCAGGGGAGAAAACGCGGCCCGATATTTTGGTGGTCCGCCAAGCGGTTGCGATGTTTGTTTCATGTGTTGCAACGCGGGGCGATGAATTGAACAATCGAACAATCGCACAATCGAATGGGGGTCGGTCCGATGTATTGAAAAATATGTCGAAATTAGTGTGGCAGAGCCTGGCGCGAAACGATACGGTTTTTGTAGAATACGATACAACAGTTGCTGGGTGAAGGCACTATCATGGTAGAGTACCCACAGGGCCAAACGGCAAGCAGTACATGCATGGTGGTTAGCTCCTTTTGTATGCCACAGATCCGACACCCTGTTGCGCTGTGCTATATTCTTGGGCTGCACGAAGGAAAGAAGGAAGAAGAAAAAGAGCACACCGCGGGCCTGGCCTGGCTTGGGACGAGGTTTCTTTGTGGGCGCTGAGGATTGTCTTGTCCTCTTTGAAGAGCACTACTTATGGCAAGCTCGGTCGATGGTAGATTCAAGAAGGGGAAGACCAAGGCAGGGGAGAAAGGGAAGAAGGGCGATATGCGTACGTACGTACGAGCTTTCACTGTAATGTCGGTGCTCCAGCAATGTGAGGTAGGTCTGAAAGGGAGGTTTTGTCCTGGCGGGGAAGTTTTTATGACCCAGATGACGCTGCTGCCATGACAGCACTTGTGTGTGGGTGTTTCGCACCACGACAGCAACGAGGGCTTCGGAAGCGCATGAAGCAGGGTGTGACGCCACATTTCACTGTGGTGACGGATATGATGCGTGACGTACTTGTTCGATATCTCATCTGCATGAACGGGGGGCAGCAAGGAAGAGAAAGAACAAGGGATATACAACAAGGTAGAATCGCCCGGAAATGGTGCAAAGCTAATGCTGCACATTGGCAAAGGAGTTGGTGCTGATGACAAGGTATTCCATTTTGCAAGTAGCTGGTGGTGTCGCGAGGTCCGTAGCGGGTGCATATATATTTTACACGAGTTGATACGCAGACTGTTTGGGGTGTCGTGAGCATGTACCTTTTAACACCAGTCATTGTCGATGGATTTGGACCAATAGATGATTTGATGATTGTTCTTAGGCTATTTGCACCCGCACACTTTTCTTCACAGTCGTCTTGTCTTGTGCACCCCTTGCTTGTTGATCCTTGGCGATGGTATGCAGGATATTTCTTGTTTCCATCAGAGTTGGGCCAGTGCTGATGTTAAAAGACGCTGAGCAGAGGATTGAAACTGTGATTATTTTGAAACAACAGACAGTTTTTTCGGTGTACGTGGACTTTCGAAATGCGGGAGGATTTGTTTTGGTTCGTGGAAACAAGTGGTCCCAGTGATGGAAATTGCCCTTTCAACTTGTTCTTTTGTTCATTGACCTTGCTACTTCGTTTTGTCCCAACGGCTTTGGGGTGTGTGCCACGTTGAGAGTGGTAGGGATGAGTTATTCCCTTTTGCGCAGCGGTGGAGGGTGTCGTTACAGAAGTGTCAGCTGCCACTCTAAGGCACGTTGGGCTACTCTCCACCATCCAATGGTTTTCTTGAGACTTCGGGGCGTTCACTCCCTGGGACTGTCAAAACCGTTGCTTCTCTAGAACAGGCAGAAGTTGCCCTCGATACCAGCACCGGAAGCAGAGGCAGCAAATTACACCCCTCGCACAACAACCTCTGGTCGGAAGGGCCTCCCAGTCTTCTGAAACCGTACCCTGTATCCGTTGCTCGAGGCGCTGCTGAGAAGGTTCAATACAATGAAACCACCGCGATTTAACTAGCTACACCCGACGCCCGACCCCAACAAGGTAACCCAAGTCTGTCCTCAAGGACAGCAACTGATTCAAGGCTCTCTACTAAAAGAAAGTTAGGGTGAACATCGGAAAACTACTCTACTGCCGTAGAACCAGATATCTCAAATTTCTGAAGCTGATGAAAGCCGTCTCTCCGACAGAGGTAATTTTATTTCGCAAACCCTGTTATTCCGATACCCCCACCCTTGCCTCGACCGTGTCCCAAAAGCTGATCTCTACGTTTGGCGCAAGTCTCGGGACATGTCGACAATGCCTCGGTAGGGCATGGCAAATCATGGCCCCTCGCCAAGTTCAATCGACTTCCGCGCGCAGTATTGTAACGTACGCCGCAAGTGGGTGGCCATAGGCGACCATGGTGCGCTGCTGTTTCTCTCTCCTCGTCAACGGTTCGCCGTGTGCCTCTCTGTCTGCGTCTCTCTTCTTTGTCTTCCCCAACAAATTCGGAAAAAAATGGAATCTCTGGGTCCGCTTGGCAGCAAACAACAGACTGATCTCGACCGACGCCCCGTCTCGCATGTCTTGAGGTATACCTCTGTAGGGCATCGCGCGTCATGGGCCCTCGCCGAGTTTCATCACCATCATCACCCTCCGCGCGCAGTATCATACACCACCAGTTTTCGACCAATGCGTTTCTGTCCTCTTCACTGGATGGGGCCTGGTTTATCTCCTTTTTATCAATCACGCTCTCGCGATACTTGTGGACTCTCTTGAACACACGTCGCACATAACCATCCATGCGCGACGAAACGACGGGCTGTCGGAAGGGCCATGAAAATTCGCTCCCCATTAGTCTACACGACAGAGAGAGGCGTTTTGTGGATTTTTCTGACTTGATTTTCTCGCTCCCACTCCTCCAGCAGACCTGACTCTGCGTCTGAAACACACATACATCATGAGGCCCACCACATACGGCTGCACATCACCATACGAGCCTTTCTCGTCCTTGGGCGTCAACAGTTGCTTCTTGCACCGGTCTGCTGTATGGGCGGGGATCTGCTGAATGACGTGTGGGCATCACACTAAAGCCAAGACTACCGATTGAATACCTTTAGCCTCGCTGTAGCCGGGGACTACAAATAAGACCGTGTGTGGTCATGACTTGTCTATATTTCGAATGGGTAGTCTTTCTGTGTTTGTTTTTATGGCGTTGCAATGCATTAGGGAACCTCTGCATTGCGGGATCTTTTCTCAGAACAGCGCAAGGGGAACCTCTTCATTAGGGAACCTCACCCCCACAAACGTCGGGGGAACGCTGCACTGGGGAACCTCAAATTGAAGTTGGCAGGGAAATCCCACACAAATAGGGAGCCCATGTGAGCCGTCCCATGGGACAGCCCTGGGACGTCCCACGTGTCCCATGGTGTCCGATGGGGGGACGTCCCTAGCTGTCCCATGGTGTCCCATGAGACACGTAGGACCTCCCAGGGCTGTCCCATGGGGCGTCCCAGGCGTGAGACGCTTTGGACGTCCCGCGGGACAAGCCATGCCCTTTTTTCAGTGCAGCCGTGGGCTGTAGATGCGCTTGGAAATCCGTACCCGGTGCAGCCGCCGTTCATGGGTCATGGGAGCCGGCAGTGGCCGATGATGCTGACGCAGGACCCGATCACCGTCGCTTCCGCTCACATGCCTGATGCCGCCATGCCACTGCTCCGCCACCGCCTGGTACGTTGCCGCTTCACACGCTTCGACGCCGGCCAAAGAGACCCAACCTACCCCTAGCCTGAATTAGAACGCGCACAACTATTGGATCGCATGTCTCTGTCGAGGTTCGCCCAGCAGTGACACCCGCCGGCGACGGCATCGCCGTCGGCAGCGGCCTTCGACGTGCCGTCGTCGAGACTGCCATCGCCGTTGTCGCCGCTGTCGGTGCTGCTGCCGCCGGTGCCACAGCCGCCGGTGCTGCAGCCGCCGGTGCCGCAGCCGCCGGTGCCGCAACCACCGGTGCCGCCGCTGGCGTCGCCACAGTCGGCGCCGTCCGCAAAGAAAGAGCCACCGTCATCAGTCGCCGCTTTGCCAACGCACACACCATTTGCCGTCGTGAACACGGAGGCACCGCCCCCGGATTCCGTTGTGAAAACGGAGACCACGTCGGTTTCCGCGGCGGTACCGACGCCCTCACGACGTGTTTTGCCACAGAAACCACAGGTCTCGGCTATCGCGGTGTCGATAGCGAGGTCTTCGCTGCCGGCCATACAGGTNGCTGTAGTACGCTAGTACACACCTTGATGAAGCCCCCATGTCTGCTCCGTAGCTGTGTTTGCTGACTTGTGTTGGTCGCAGATGAAGGTGAAGCTGTGAACGTTGAAGTTATGGTGATTCTGCACGGTCCGGCAACCGTACGCGCGTTTGACGTCCGCAGCAATGCAGCGGGATGCGGGAGGAATCTTCAGATGGTGCCGATGTTGTGAGGGGTGAGAGTGTGCGATAGGGGAGTTGGTGGGTGCGAGGTTTGTGTGCCTTTGTGTGCATTGGCCTGGCCGGTCTCAGCGGTAGTTCTTCCGTTCTTGGCTTTTCGGGAATTCCGAGAACGGTCCACGAACTTTTTGGGTCCTGTTTCCGTTGATTTCTTCCTGCTTTTCTTGCCCACGCACAACCCCACCTCCTTGCCCTCCCAAACACATAACCCCGCACGCTCACCTTCCTCTTGCGCTTCCACTTCCCCGACTTCCAGGGTAGGCTTGCCCTCTGTGCCGAGGTCTCCTTTCTCGGAGAAACATTTGTTGCGAACGCCACATCGTTGGACCAGATCTATTCGATATACTCGTAGCATATGGTGGTATATTGCGTATACATATGCGGGTATTTCAGTGACGAACTACGGAGGAACAAGAAGTTTCTTCATGTTTTCCTTGGGAGTGTGGTAGATTGGTTGTTGTTGTTGTTTCTGCTCACATTAGCTCTATAGTCCACAAAAAATGGGGAGCCCGTGGTCTCAAAACCCGGCACATACGACGCCGCGAGAAAAAAAAAAAAAGGTACAAACCACTCGGAAAGAGAAAACAAAATGACCGAAAGAAAAGAACAGGTATCGCAGCGATCGTTCGAGAAAAGAGCCCTCGGACACCGATCAAAATAAAACAAAACAAAAATATAGGAGGACGCTTCCCACACCCGCCCAAAGAAAAAGGCATAGACTGGTTTGGTGTGTTGTTGATATAATGGGTGGGTGTGGAGTGGTCCGGCAGACGGTTTGAATTTGGATTCCCCCGCCCCCTTAATTACGAATGAAGAATATGTAAGAGGCAGGTATGCTTGGTTTCCGTGCCCCCGCAGCAGTTTGATTCCTGCGTGTCGAGAGCGACAGCATGATGACACGAATTCGAGGAGAAAAAGAGAGACACACACAGAGAGAGAGAGAGAGAGAGAGAGAAAGAGCCATACACATACAACAACACATCGCACGATTGAGAGCGAAGTATCTGAATGAGAGCGAGATCGTGCGATACGATGTAGCTTGTCTACTGCTGAGAGGTAGAGCTTGCTGTGCGGCTTGAATTGAAGGGCTTGCCCATAGCTACAAGCCGATACCCGGGTCATCCTGCGGCTATCGCGGTGTCGATAGCGAGGTCTTCGCTGCCGGCCATACAGGCGGCCGCAAGCGGTTTCGTTGCTGACCGGGCCTTGCCCCTGTCGTCTGCCGGTGTACGCACAGCACAGGCACAANATTGAAGGGCTTGCCCATAGCTACAAGCCGATACCCGGGTCATCCTGCGGCTATCGCGGTGTCGATAGCGAGGTCTTCGCTGCCGGCCATACAGGCGGCCGCAAGCGGTTTCGTTGCTGACCGGGCCTTGCCCCTGTCGTCTGCCGGTGTACGCACAGCACAGGCACAACTGGACGCGACCGCCGTTGCCGCCGCAGAGGCGTACGCTCTCAGCGTGCGTAATGGATAAGGCATGCTAAAGTGAACGAACTGTATACGATTGTTTCGCTTTCCCCGGCAGAATTTCTGCTTCGTTCGTTCGGCCGAAAGTGTGCTGGCTGAAATCCTGTCAGCCGCTGATCCCATTGGCAAGCAGACCATAAAGTCGTCCACATGGGTGGCCGGATGGTATGCCCCTTTCCACAAGCGTGTCCTCATGGCAGTTCGAACCCTCCGGGCGCCAATGCCGCAACCCGCGAGTTGGTGGATTCTTCGTGATCTCGACTGAAGCGTTTTCTGGAGACGAAGGACAAGTCGGGGCCCTCGGCATACCGTAGGCTGCTCAAGACCAGTGGGAACCGAGAGGTTTCAACCGGGGCATAGACATGCTGCAGGACTTTCGTTACGAAGTTCAAGGCGTTGGCAATGTCGGAGTTGGCCTCGCATAGGGCTTCGCGCCGGATCTGCGCATGGTTCAGCGTGCGCTTAGGGACGCTTTATTGGAGCAATACCTGAATGTTCTCTCGTCTTTGCCGTTGAAGGATAACATTCTCAACAACGTGGTGTTTAGTGATCAGGATGAGCTTTGGGATGCTTTGTCGTCGGAGGAAGCACTGAAACACCGCCCGCCTGTAACGGCGAAGGAAATTTTACCACTGTCACTTCTGGGTTTTCGTCGGCGCCCATACGAGCCATGACCGCGACCGTGGGGTAGTAGAGTCCGCCACCGACGCCGTCGCTGCAGCCGTCCGCGTGGTCGCCGGGACCACGCTTTCTCGCTGGGGTGATGGCAATCGACCCTGTGCCGTCCGACAACACATGTCCTTTCGAGCAGGATTACGACTGCTGGCCGTTGCTTGCGTAGTCACTACGGCTTTGTGTACAGCGTTGTGGAGAGTATGGCTAAGACGGATCCCCCCTTGTTCACACCGCTGTTGACCCCTGCTGACCGAGCACATGCTTTGCGGCAATTCTCTGGCCAATGTCTCAA